GACGTCAGTGTCATTTCTGGTTATTCTGTGGTGTGATTGCTACATTAACTATAAAATATATCTCTAACTAATAAACTCACTAATTGGAATCTATTTCAACAAATATTAGATAATATAATTCATCTTAATACTCTTATGAAAACAAACGAAGACATTGACAATGAAGTAGAAAAGTTTTAAAAGACATACAAAACGCAGCCAATTTTAACGCCAAAACCTAAATCTAATATTTATGCTAAATTCATTAGAGACAAAAACGTTGCAGAAAAATGGAAAGCAAGAAAGAAATGGCAAACCAATAAAATTCCTAGTGATAAAACTAAATTAAATAGAATAACAGCCGAATTAAGAGCATTAACAAAGAAAATAATATTCAAAATTGCTTAAAAGACCTTACTGACGATGCCAATCAAGAAAAAGTTAATTTGTTTGCTGAACATCGAATGAAACTTTTGCATCAGACTATGCTAAATAGTGTCCCTAGCGTAATTCAAAGTGATCAGCAAAGTAATATACCATGTGTAAGAATGAAAGAACTGTATTATGAAATACAAAAACTAAATATAAAGAAATCAGTAGGCTATGACCTAATTAATGGAGAAACATTGAAACATCTACCAAAACGGGCGATTACAAAACTATTACACATAATTAATGCTGCTTTTAAACAGAAATACTTCCCAAGCATATGGAAAGTTGCTAAAGTAATAATGATAGCAAAACCTGGTAAACCCCCCACAGATGTTACATCAGATAGGCCAATCTCATTATTACCCTTACTATCAAAACTGCTTGAAAAATTACTGTTATAAAGACTAAAATCTTTCATAGAAGAAAAAGCCTTAATATCAACACATCCATTTCGGTTTCGGAATAAACATGCAACAATAGACCAAGTTCATAGAATAACGAATACTATCGAAATAGCAATGGAAGAAAATTAAGTCTGGTCCGCCGTATTTCTGGATGTTGCACAAGCTTTCGACAAAGTCTGGTTAGATGGTTGAAATTACAAACTAGACCAAATACGATATTTTAAAGTAAAATACGAAAACGCTTATTCACCACTACATGAAATACGAGCCGGAGTTCCTCAAGGAAGTGTGCTTACTCTACACATTCGACCTTTCTCAGGTACCAGAAACTTTAACAGCTACACAACGCTAGATGACACAACAATCTTGGCTGTTGCAGAAAGTTGCAGCAAATAAGTTACAATTGCCCAAGCAGGGATGATTGGACGAAGGGTGGGCCTCAGAAGCCCTAGCCTGGTATACTGATGCTTCAAAGACATGTAGATCCGGAGTAGGCATGGGCATCCGTGTAAAAAATAGCAACATTAAATTGCTCCTCAGCTCGGACATAACCATTTTTCAAGCAGGCGTTCTTGTTATAAACTTGTGCACTGCTTTGAACCTACAACAGGGACAGAAAAGTGCATCCATAAACATTTTCACAGACAGTCGGGCCGCTCTAAAGGCAATTCTAATACACGTGTGGCTCCACACTGATCAGAGAGTCTACCAGTAACGTGAGAGAACTCGCTAGGGGCAATGATGTTACTCCGACGTATTTCTGGATGTTGCATAAGCTTTCGACAAAGTCTGGTTAGATGGTTGAAATTACAAACTAGACCAAATACGATATTTTAAAGTAAAATACGAAAACGCTTATTCATCACTACATGAAATACGAGCCGGAGTTCCTCAAGGAAGTCTGCTTACTCTACACATTCGACCTTTCTCAGGTACCAGAAACTTTAACAGCTACATTCGTAGATGACACAACGATCTTGGCTGTTGCAGAAAATGAAGTAGTTGCAGCAAATAAGTTACAATTGGCCTTAAATTCAATAGAAAACTGGACTAAACGATGGCTAATAAAACTAAATACAAATAAATCGACATACATAAACTTTACTTATAAGAAAGTAAACTATGTCCCAGTACACATAAATCGCAATGTAATCCGCAAAATATCTTGGTATGACGCTGGATACCAAACTCGAATGGAAAGCTCACGTCAAAAAAAAACGTGAGAAACTTTATATCAAATTTAGACACCTATATTGGCTTATTGGCAAAAAATCAACGCTATCACTAAGAAACAAGTTGCTAATATACAAGCAAGTATTAGAACCAAAATGGACATACGGAATCCAACTGCGGGGTTGTACCTGCAAGACGAATGCAAGTCTGATTTAAAGATTCCAGAACAAAGTACTAAGGTACATAGTGAATGCACCCTGGTATATAAGAAACACCGACCTCCATCGCGATTTGAAAGTAGCATCGGTGTCATCAGAAATTGCATCATTCGCATCTAAACATGAGTAAAGCACACTGGAAAAAGCTGCAAAACATTATCTAGTGTAATTTGGTGTTAAAAATAAGTAACTAATTAGTATGTATTTACTAGGTGTTATACAATTGTGCTATGCATAATATACAGATCAGAAGTATAATAAAGACTCTAAAAGCAAAAAATATCAAAGATATATACGTGCCTTTGGTAATTCGCGATAAGATGGCAGATTTTAAATTGAGGTCACAAAACGAGGTGCCGCCAACATCAAACGAATCGACGTCAGTGTCATTTCTGGTTATTCTGTGATAGCTAAAATAGCTAAGTAAACATACTTAGGGTGCCCAGTGGGTTACAACTAATCATATTTATAATAAATACCATAATAATATAAATTAGAGGGTTAAATACCAGTTTAAAAGTACAAAAACTTTACAAATTGACGAGATTAATGAAAATAATGTGATTAAAATTGGTGGTTGTTTATTGGTTAGGATAATAAGCAAATATGATGCGTGATAAATAATAACAGTGATAACTGGGGTAAATGTGGGGGTAGGTTGATGGATGGACGCAAAAAGGGATCCAAAATCGTGCGATGAAGGATGTCGCGTCGTATACGGATTTAATTAACAGCGTAATTAGGCAAAATTTGACAAATGCGAACGCCGGCCACCGGTCGCCGGTTCGGAGAAAGTGATTCCGAAGAAATATGCCCGACCTAATTGATAGCGACTTTTTGTCCGTTGCACACGGTCCGAGAACGATCGATAGTGCGTTAACTACATGCTGATAAAATAACAGCTCTGTCTGATTAGCTGCCGGCATTGATACGGTGGCGTCGAGCCAGGAAAAACAAAGCCACCCTCTGGCGGCCCCGCCATAGTGTGTAAACGCGGATAAGTGGTAAACAAGGTAGTAAATTTTCTCTGCCCGTTCAATGGTTCCACTGGAAGCTACCCTTTTCCCGTGCGATATTATTCCTATCCGACGACCCTCTCCAGAAAACGTATACACCCGTTCGAATCTTGAGATTTATAGAAAAAACGATACACGATGAAGTACATTCTCTCAATTTCTTACACACATATTTTATCATATCCAAATATGTTAATTGAGAGACAATTTCCATCACAATATATTATCTTACGTAATAAAAAGAGATAATATTTAGATGGAGTTAGAAGGTAAGAAATTAGTAATCATAGGTAAAGGCGAAATAATTTAACTTTTTGCCAGATGCGTTCCATTGCATTTGAAGCATCCGAAAGTGGTCTTAAGGGGTTTGGGGATGGTAGTTAGAAGGAGAGACGTGTAATACATGGGGGGTTAACAATGGGATGAAGGAAGACGGGCGTAGGAGGGTCGCGGAGCTTCTTCCATTATCCGCTCCACAGAAGCTCAACCTCATTTTCTCGACCGTTGATTTTGCGTCCCGTCTCGCAGTTCAGCCACTCCACCCTACGTCATAGTTGTCTTCGCGCTGGCCACTTGTATTTACATCCTCGAGACGGCCGTTAACCGCTATATTACAAAAGTCGCGAAACATAATGTATTATCTCTAACGCAACGTTGCGTAATAACCATTAGATTTTTGAAACTTTGATTAGTGCTTCGAGATAATGCATGGGAGATTCCCATTAAACTTTCGCCACGCCATGATAAACGTTCGACCGCTTAATTTATGTCCCATCAAAGGTGCGACACCCAATTATCTACTCCATCGTCGGCACGTTCTTCGCTGGAAAGAAACCTCTTTTTATTTTTTCTCGCAGCTTCCGAATTCTGCTCCGGGATTAGCGACGAGTTGCCGGGGTTTCCGGTTAATCCTATATCTAATTTTCACGATACCATCTTCATTAATTATTTATTGAACCTTCTCTCGTAATAGAAAACATTACAGGGACCGAACGACCGTACGCCCTCGTATCGGTCAAGGGATTATAATTCATCGGAAGTTTGGAAATTGCTAATTGGAAAATTAAATTACTAAATTTATTCGCGGAAAATTAATTTTGTCGTGTTACGGTACTTTCCATCCTGGTGACAACATTATATATCAATCAAAACTTATCCTATCTCTTTCAATCACAATCAGCTTGATTTTCTAATTATTTAAACAAATTATAACACTCAAACTAAAGTCTTTCAAACCAATTTAAATCTAAAAATAACAAATTTAAAAAGTAATTTAAAAATTAATCAAAATATGATTCATCAATTTTTCATTATAATAGATATATGAATAATAGATTAAAAGAAAATATATAAAAGTAACCAATTGTAAATAAAATCAATGCAGTTACAGCAGTAAAACATGGACGGTGTAATTATACATTCAATAAATAACGAAACGGGGTCGTTTATTATTTTAGCACATTACGAGCATGGAAATTTTATTGTAACGCAGACAAAATCAATTTTATTTATAGACGTAAAAACGCGTCGAGCCAAATTACGATTTCACAGTAATAGAATGACGTTACATGGAACAAAACCCGAAATGATTCCTTCCCTTTTAAATCTTTTCAGATCTTTTTCAGAGGAAAAGATGTTGTTTGTTTCGAAGGAACAAACGTCTTATCCCGCACGATAAAGCAATAGCATAAAGTTTATAACCGGCCCTTATTACCTCGCAATCATATTTTAAATCTTTCCATCTTTTACAACGTACTTACACAAGGGTTTAATTGCAGGTCGCTTGGATGCACTTTGAGCAATCGGCTATCCTTACTGTTCACAATCACGTCATCACAAGGAATCCTAGGATCAGTGTCACCCATGATAAACACAGAACATGGTTTTTACACATAAGTAATGTACAACAGGAGGATCGAGGACGTTATATGTGTCAAATTAACACAGTAACAGCCAAAACACAAATTGGATATTTACATGTTGTTGGTAAGTTATACACAATTTTATTAGAATATGAATACATATATACCTATATAGTGAATTTTACTTAAGGTGCAATATACAAAAATATATTTCCATAGAAACCAGGACGTACCTACTTACTTTGTCCCAAATACAATGCAACATGTCAATATAATTTGACATTACAGTAAAACATTGATTATTAATACGTTATAGTGATAACAGATAAAACTAGACTAACACTAACTCTTCAGACGCACGGCTAAATCCGAAACTTTCTAGTTCTAATGTTAATTCTAGTTCTGCGATAGCACTATCCCTAGAACTAACACAAAACCTAGAACTAGAATCATTCGGGTTTAGCCGTCTTGAAAGACGTGCAGCTAAATCCGAATGTTTCTAGATCTAGGTCTAGTGTTAGTTCTAGTTTTGTACTAGCACTGTCACTAAAACTAACATAAGACCTAGAACTAGAATCATTCGGGTTTAGCAGTCTTGAAAGACGTGCGGCTAAATCCGAATGTTTCTAGATCTAGATCTAGGTATAGTGTTAGTTCTAGTTTTGCACTAGCACTGTCACTAAAACTAACATAAGACCTAGAACTAGAATCATTCGGGTTTAGCCGTCTTGAGAGACGTGCGGCTAAATCCGAATGTTTCTAGATCTAGGTCTACTGTTAGTTCTAGTTTTGCACTAGCACTTTTTAACAAGTCCTAGAACTTAAAAGATATATAAGAAGTATAAGAAATATAGTATAAGAAATATAGAAGAAAAAGAGTTAACAAGGCCTAGAACTAGAATCATTCGGGTTTAGCCGTCTTGAGAGACGTGCGGCTAAATCCGAATGTTTCTAGATCTAGGTATAGTGTTAGTTCTAGTTTTGCACTAGCACTATCTCTAAAACTAATACAAGACCTAGAACTAGAATCATTCGGGTTTAGCCGTCTTGAAAGACGTGCGGCTAAATCCGAATGTTTCTAGATCTAGGTCTAATGTTGGTTCTAATTTTGTACTAGCACTATCCTTAGAACTAACACAAGACCTAGAACTAGAATCATTCGGGTTTAGCCGTCTTGAGAGACGTGCGGCTAAATCCGAATGTTTCTAGATCTAGGTATAGTGTTAGTTCTAGTTTTGCACTAGCACTGTCTCTAAAACTAACACAAGACCTAGAACTAGAATCATTCGGGTTTAGCCGTCTTGAGAGACGTGCGGCTAAATCCGAATGTTTCTAGATGTAGTATTAGTTCTAGTTTTGCACTAGCACTATCACTAAAACTAACATAAGACCTAGAACTAGAATCATTCGGGTTTAGCCGTCTTGAAAGACATGCGGCTAAATCCGAATGTTTCTAGGTCTAGTATTAGTTCTAGTTTCAGCGTTAGATTTTGGTATTTTTTTATGGAACAAAAAGTAGAACTAACACTAGACCTAGAACCAGCAACATTCGGGTTTTGCTGTGCGTCTCTTAACATGGAAACTCAGAATTATCATAAAGACGTCACCTTTTCCAAGCAAAATTTTTCCTTTGCAAAACTACCCAATGTCTGTACTATCAAACTATGTTGCATTTTATGTGGGACAGTGCAAGTGCACAGTAGTTTCGTAACTATGGTTACTGCATTCTTATATTGCGATAAAGTCTTGAACTAACCTTAATACCTCAAAATCGCCCGATACATTACCTTTTTGTATCAGTGTATTAAGTTAAGTGACATAGGGATGAGTTGCTGATTTTGAGAGTTTTTTCGGCACCTTCTTCAGTTCTTAATTGAGATTTTATCACCTTAAAGGTCAAAAAAGAACTACATTTTTAATGGTATTCATATTATTTTAATCTACCATTTTTAGTAATAAGCATATATTTTGCATCTAGGCACACCATACAGATGCACTGGTGCATTTTCATACTTCCAAACATGCCATAAACGTAAAGAGATGATTTTTTAAATCTGCCAATTTTAATAGTAAACACCTTGTCCACCACTTCTTTACAATAGATTAGAATCTTCTCTCTTTCTGCTATTTCGCGTTGCCAGATTTAGCATAGACATTGAAAGATGATTTTTGTAAATCTGCCAATTTTAATAGTAAATATAAAATTTGTTTCTAACCCCAAAGAGTACTCTTTCTGACACCTTTTCCACCATATTGTAACTCTAGATTTGCCCTAAGAACGTTGTATGGCGATTTTTTCAGTCTGCCATTTTGATTAATAAGTACATATTTTGATTCTAAACGCAAAGGATAGTTTCTTTGGCGACTTTTCCGCCATATCACACTTTTAAATTTATCACAGACATTAAGAGATTTTTTTTAAATCTGCTAATTTTTATGATTAACCCCTTACTGCAAGATTTTTTAGATTCAATTAAAAATAAAGAAACTTAATTACAGTACTAAGCTACTCAGAAGCTCACAAACCATTGAAAATATGTATACAATTGTTTTATTTTCCAAGTATTTCCAAAAAAGCTTTATATGCCGTATATGGGACGATTTGAAGTATAAGCAAAAACTAACAAGAAGGCATTTACTATAATATTTGATTTTAATTGGTCTACAAGAAATGTAATATTTTAGAACTACATTACAAACAATTTTCCTCTACATTCTGGATATTTACACTGTTGGCGTTCATCATAAGTCCATCTTGGTAGGTGATTTAGATTGTCCTTGCGAATGCCTTGGACAAGAATTTCTGAGAACTTGTATTTTTTTTTAGATCCAGTTTAAGCTGTAAATGATAGCTTCGTCTGTCGCGTTTTCTTGGAATTGTATTTGATTTGGTTATCACTTTAGCTATTCTCAGAGCTATTTCGCAAGCTAGTAAATGCTTACACTACTCGGGCGTGTTATATTTATATAATTTCTCTGTTTCCGACAAAATTTTTGAACTCAGACACATTTTGACTTCCGACATAGGTTGATATGGTTATGACTACCTTATTGTCAAGTGATATGTCTACGCCATCTACATTTGCAACTTTTTCAATTATGGTACCCCTTCCCTTCTTCTTTAGACCGTTATCTGGAGGCAGATTACTGTTCGGTACTATATTTCTTCTAACAGTACCAAGAGGTAAAATACCTTGTATTAAAATATGAGTAGGTCTGTACTTGTAAACCAGTTGTCCAAATATATCTTGTAATTCTGGTTTCTAAGTATCGTTACCGCTAGTTTTACGACACATTGCTGCTCATTACGAGATCTGGTTCTCGTTGAAATAATGAAATTTTTCGATTTCTTCAAATCTGTTCCAAGACACAGTGCCACAAAGTGCAAGAATAGCTATGGAAGATTTCCAATAGCTTCTTATAGAAGGCAACAGTATAATAGACACATTGTTCTGCTGTCATATTTGCTGGTTTCTCCGGTCTACACTGCACTGACTATGTTCTTCTGTAATATAATTAACCATCTCCGTTGTGAGCAGGTATTTGAAGAAATCATTCCATGTTTATTTTGTTTATTATGCCATTATATGTTCAAATCTTGTTCACTGTCCCATTGTTCTTCTTCAAAATCCAGAGGTTCTTCAAGACTTGTGAGCACATGAACCTTACAGTTGAAATTTTTAGGAGAATCATCATCAGACAGATATTCGTCTTCACTTTCATCTCCATTTAAATTCAATTTCTACCAATTCATTCAACAGATACTTACCTTTCATCTATATATTTATTGCAACGCGAACAGTTTTTACAAAAACTCACTTAAAAGTGATTACTCTAAATATGACACGAATTGTATTAAGTGTAAGAAATACATTTGTACTTAAAAATCACAAAAGCCTCCCATATATGGCACACTATGCTATTTCACTTTACCAGATTTGGCATAGACGTAAAGAGATGATTTTTTAAATTTGCTATTTTTAGTAATAAATATAGATTTTACTTCTAAACTCAAAGTATAGTTTTTCTAACACCGCCAAATTTACCGTAGGGATGGAATTTTCAAATCTGCCACTTTTAAAACTAAACATTTATTTTGATTCTTGATCCCCAGGATAATCTTTCTAGCACCTTTTCTTTCATACCAGACCCTATTTTCCCTAGAGGGGTGGTTTTTTATGATGAATTTTAGAATGCTGTAAGAATTTTTTTTTCATATTAATGACGTTTTAATGGAAATGGAATAACTGTGATTATTTTATTATAAATTAAAGTACATTTCCATTGTTTCAAAGTTGGCTAAGATGTTTCTGAAAACTGGGTGGGTGAGAAATGAGCACAAAAAACGTTTAACAGGTTCTCCCCCCGTTGGTCCAATAAATCTCGAAGTAACGGAGCTAAGCAGAACATTGTCTTAAGGAACATCCAATAACCCAATAAATCTTCCAAAGCCCTCCAGATTCATTGAGCGGATTGTATGCATTAGTAAATCTATACGGATTATCTAAAGACGTGTCTTTGATCTGATTATTATTGCTGGTGAGTATGATCATCCCTTCAAGTAATTGGAATCGAGAATTAATGGGGAATTAATCGAGAATTTTCGTTGGCAAAAATCCTACGCACTTCGCAGGATGCGGCGCGGAAATTTTATCAATTTCGTACAGGAAATTGAATGCAACAGTGCGTGTAGTCGATATATTTTATGTTAACGACGGAATATTGATGGGTCGCGTAATTTTTTAATAAAATAATAAAAAAAATAATAGTGGAGGTTCAAGCGAAATGATAAATGTATCCTTTTTTCCTGATCGATTCCGCCGTTACATACAAAAGCTGTTTATGAAGGTGGTAAAAAATACACGGTAATTTGTAAAAGGAATATGATTGATTACTTTTTACCCTTCGACTTCGAATGCACATCGATATTATCTAAAGGCGAGAAAATGAGGTAGCTGTAGGTAAGGAGCCGGAGGTAAGGACCTAGAGGTAAAGAGTCTGTTACCCGGGATAAAACACGAGAATTACCTCGACTACGTAAGCGGGCGAGTTTGTTCTATAAATAATTAAATTTGTATTTCGAAGTAGAAAGCGGAAAAAGTCGGCGTTGCCCGCGGATTTGTC